TTGCCTCCCTTCTCAGTCCTTCATGGAGAGTTATGGCTGTGTTTCTATCTAGTTCAGAAGTGCCACCCAGAAGAGAAATATGAAGCATTAAAGGATACCTGAGAACAATTATTGTTTTAGATTTATGGATCCCCTGTTCACATGTATCACAAAAGCCTTTTCTGCCATCAAAAAAAGCCTCAGTGGGCCCTCATCAAATGTGACAGGGCGTTCTTTACACAAACATTGTACTTGGCAAATGTCACCCAAACAAATCTGCCTCTTGGTTTGAAGTCTGAGGATGAAAACTGAAAATCCATCTGGGAAAAAATATGATATGTTCCAATCTGACCAATGCCAATCCATCAGCCTCTAGGAAGCACTGTGATTTAATGTTTCTAGAGCAATCTTATTGTAAATGGATCAGAGGCATTGGTGTTTTTAGGTTACAGAGGGGCACTACCATGCAGCTGTTCAAGGAGCATGGCTTCTGGCTGGGATGGCTATATTTTATCTTCTCATGCCATCTTTCCTGCCACTGTAACCCCTAGACCACAGGACCTCCAGACATCTTGACCTAGGGAACTTAACTCTCTCAGCTCTGGAACCCTGTGGCCCCACCATCATGACTGGTGAAAGTGTCACATCACATCACACCAAACCATGCTACTTACTCTACCTTACCTGCCCTAACCATGCTTCCTTAACATTCCAACTTCCCATCTTCCCATCCAGCCTACCATGTTGGAACATCCTCCCCCAAACCCCTTTGTAGTTATAGTACTGTAATCAAATCAGTAAGTACCAACACTGCCACTAAGAAGGGTATTTCAATCAACTCTCCAAAGACTCCATTCACGTTTTATTGTTGTTCAGTTGTTTAGTTGTGTCCCACTCTTTGTGTCCCTGTGGGCTACACTATCTATGAGATTTGCTTGGCAAAGATACTGGAGTGATTTGCCATTTCCTTCTTCACTGGGTTAAGGCAAACAAAGGTTAAGTGACTTGCCTGGGATCACACAGCTACTAAGCGTCTGAGGCCGCATTTGAACTCAAATCTTTGACTCCAGGCCCAGCACTCTATCCACTATGCCATATGCTTCCTTAACATTCCACCTTGGCCATGTTGACATCTAGCCAACCATGTTTGAATATCCTCCCCCAAACCCCTTTCCGGTTCTCATATTGTAATCAAATCAGTACATCCATTGACACTGGAAAGGGTATTTCAATCAGTTCTCTCCTAAGACTCTATTCACTATACATGAATGATGAAAACAGCAGGGCTACCAAATCCCCTTTATGTGTTGATACATACAGAAGGTAGCAGCTGCTTGACAGCATAAAATGTCTTACTTTTGCATGTTTTCCCAGAGCTTAGCAAAAAGCTTGACACATACTAAGTGCTTAATAAACGCTTTTTTTCATTTATCCATTTTCCTTGCTGCAGTTGCTTGAGTAACCAAGGTGTTCATCGGCCTCTGTAACCTAGCATTTCAGTAATTATTCTCTATCTGTGCAGTCCTTGCTTGATTAACTTTGTCCAGGCAGCTAGATTATACTGTGGCTTTAAGGAGACATTTTGCAATTGTTTTTTCTCTCTTCTGTTTTAAATTACTCTTTTGTAGCAAAATCCTGTTCATTGCTATTATTCCAAGTGCCCCCAAGAGTTAATGAATGCAAATGTGTATTTATTACTGGAGCATATTCGTAAGTTTTTGTTCTTTTTACATAACCCATAGAGAGCACTTCAATAGATTTTATTCTAATCCTGTTTTGTGTGTATGTGGGGTTCCCCCTACCTCCACCCCCAAGCAATAGATTTCCTGCTGTTTGCAATGAAAAGTGCTTTGTACTGTTTGCTGCCTTTTGATACATTTTTCTCTTGTGGAGAACATTTCAAAACTGTTGGAAACAGGCAACAATGGAACCATTGCAAATTTAGGTTTTAATAAAGCATTTGGTATGGTATTTTCTGTAATAGTTCTTGCAAACCTGGTTTAAGTTATCTTGGGCAATAACTACTTAATGTTTTTCTTAAATGGTATGAAAAAGTCAAAGCAAACAGGTAATCAGAATGGAAGGTTATCTACTGGTGGAAAGGGAGGGTGGAATGCTGTTTAAAAAATGGCAATGTTTAAAATTCTGTATTAAAAAAAAATCTGCTGGTGACAAGACTTTGCTCATCTAACAGAATAAGACTGTACAAAAGACGTTAGAAGCAGGTACATTTGAACAAGGTTCTATGTCCAAAATGGCCTCTCAGTCTTTAAGAACCTGTCTTTCATGAAGCTTGGGGGCTAGCTCCTACTCCATGAAGGCTTCCCACACCCCACCTCTCCATATGCCCTTCCCTCTCTAGCTCAAATTACTTTCTTTCAATTATCTGTGTACATTTTGACCCCCACACCAACTCCTCCATAGCCCAAGGTCAACTCTGTGAGTTGGTATGTTTTTTTCCCCTTCCTATGCCCAGTACTTTGCATACAGCCAGTGAATAATAAATGGCCACTGGATTGACTTTCTCCACTTCCACACTGGGCAAGACCTATAAGGAGCATGATGACCTTGGGATGAAAAGTTGTTATGTTTAGCTGAGATTTTTCTCTCGAGTGTGAGACAGAATCCTGGCTCTCATTTAACTATATGTGCGAGTTTTCAAGGGTAGGCCTGACTAACTCCTCTACCCATGTCCCCCAACCTGCAGTGGTTACTTTATTCTCAGTCAAATCCTTAATCAAATATAAAACCTGTTTGGCTTTTAAAGTTCTGCACAATGTAGTTCCTTTCTATTGTTCCTGCCTTATTCTTTATTCTCCTCCCTCTCCTCTCCATTTACTCTCCCTCCTCCTTTTCACAGAATACTCCATGCCTTTTCTCAGAGTAAATTCCACTCCTCAACCCTCCAAATCCATCCCCCCACTAGCTGCTAGGGGCAGATAGGTGGTTGGGGGTAGACTACATTCAGATGCTTAACTAGCCTGGTGACTTTGGGGGTGAGACACTTAACCTGTCTGCCTCAGTTCTCTCAACTGCAAAATAAGGATAATATAGGGTTGTGAGGATCAAACGAATTTTTTGTAAAGCACCTAGCAAAGGGCCCTGCCACATAGTAAATGTAATAAACACTTGTTTATTAAGTCACATAATATATGCGTTTCTTCCTTCTTTGCCCAACTCTGCTTTTTTCACTTACAGGCTTTCATGAGTGGAATGCCATTCTTACCTCTTCCTTTCAGCTTCTCCCAGTTTCCTTCAAGACTCAGATCACTTTCACCTTCTTAGGAGGCTTTCAAAATCCACTCACTGTCTTCCCTCTGAAACGAACTTCTACTTACGCTGTGTGTGTGTGTGTGTGTGTGTGTGTGTAGCCCCTTTCCTTTCCTTCAAAACAGGAAAGAATGCCTAGATTAACTCTAATATTGTTATTCCACACAATACCCAAGTCTAGAAATTTGTCACCACTCTTCTAACCCCAAGGTCGTACAGCTTCATAAAATCCTTAGTAAGAGAAGAACTGTTTCTTAAACTTAATTGACTAATATTAAATGGGCAACTTACTGTTAAATTATAACTCAAAAGCTTTTCTGGAATTATATATGGGAAAGAAAAGATCCCACAGGAATCTCGGAACTACAGAGATCAATTTTATTAAATTAAACTTGGGAGCTATAGATTCTTGCACAGTGAGAAAAAAGGACAAAAGTAACATTGTATGCTAAAGTTTACCAAGAGTATTTGCAACATAAAAAAAAAGGTTTCTGATGTTTTGTCTCCTCCATTAGAATGTGAGCTTCCAGAGAATTGTTTTTTCTATGCGTATTCTCAGTGCTTAATAAATGCTTTATTTCTTAAATATCTGTGAAAAATTTGAAAATACTAATGATCATTAAATAATAGCTAAAAGCAAATGCCTGGATAATAGAAATAGAAATTAAAACATGGTAACATTCATATATACCAATGGTAGCCAAAAAGGAATTCAACCATAATTCATACATTATAGTTAGAATAAAATGTCAGCAAAAGAGCTAAACATCAAATGGCAAGCATCACAGAAAGCTAAGAGAGCTATTGGAATACAACAATTATGACCAATTAAATGATCAATTCAGTATTGTATACAAAATTTGTTTTATCACTACTTTTTCCCCTGAGAAGTGAAAAATCTTGTCCTGACCAATGATCTTGAAAACAGAGATTCAAGTGTTGTGAACTTTAGTGCATTTCAAATAGTTCACTAAAATGGCAAATTCTGGGAAGGTTAAGGTCTTTATGTCTCTGCAATGCCTTTAACAAGGTCATATTCCTTTTATTCAAGAAATATTAAATCTTCTTCATCCAAGGAATTACATCCTAATTTGTCTCATAAAAATCTTCTGAATGCTTTCAACAATATATGTAAGAATGCAATAGAAAGTTATTTTACTGGTAATCCCAAAGATTATCTGCATTTTTCTAGATACCTGCACAGGCATTTAGGGTAATTATAAACATTTATAGAGAGCTTTGCAAAGTGTGTTGTTTATAACGTTTCCATGATGTAAGAAGTACAAGCATCATTATGCCCATTTTACACAGAAGGAAACAGACTTAGGAAGGTTTAAATGACAACTTATAACTGTGATGTTAGCAAATGTGGAATCAGGTGTGGTACTGCTGATAGTTTATTATACTTCTTCATCAGGGAACCTTTTATAATGTAAGAGAGCCTGTTAACGATTCAATAAAAACTGAGATGCAACACATACACGATCTTATCTAACAAGCTGAAGGATCAAAGAGATCTTCCTAGAAATGTTATATCTGCAGGAGAAGGGTTAAGAATATGGTCAAATGCACCAGAGATTGAGAACAAGCATTAACATGAATCCTGTTGGTGGCCTGCAGGATAAAATGCCTCATTAAAATAAAATCACTGAAAATAAAAGGCAACCCATGGAAAGTTGTGCATATAAGAAATTTATTTTTTATTCAATTTGCAAAGGTCCCTTTTTTAAACAAACAAAAAAAGGATGGTATAGTTTTCTTAGGACACTGGTTTATTCATTTGACATTTTCTCCATCACACCATTCTTCATTATGAAATCACCAAAGCAGAAAATCATTACAATACTTGCACAGTGTCGCTACTAGCTGCATCAATGTTGACTTGTATAAAACTATAAACATACAAATTCAGCATGAGACTCCCTCAAGGGTCTCTCAACTGGCTAGATATACATAGCAGAAGAAGTCTAAAGCAGAATATACTCCCAAAGAGTGGAGGAGGGGAAGGGAAATCCAACATGTATCAAAAACAGTCAAATTGAAATACTCCGACCTAACAAATTCTACAAACAACAGTAATTTTCATTGCATATAAAGTAAACCGTGCTAACATCCCTTCAGTGGGCGTTCTATGGTAAAGTATTAAGCACATAAAGTAAAATGCAAGATAAAACTATTCTAACATAGGACTAACTCCAGGCTGTTATCTGTTTATAATCAAACACTGGGCTATGACCCATTCTACTTCATTCAAGTCATAAGCCAAATATTTTATCTGGTAACTGACACCAAAGAATGGACTATACATATCCAATTGTAAATTTTACCATATGAAAGGTGAAAACTCATTTTCAAACATCACTGAACTCAAGACAAAAGTCCTTTCCTCCATATAAACAATGCAAATTGGTGTGAGAAATCTATTCTAAGGTTGAAATAGTTCAGACCTTATAAAAAGAGAAAGCATGGGTCTTCTCTTACTATAGGCTCAACTAGAAAAGTAAATGAAAGTTTTTTTATAGCTATGTCCAAGTATAATAAGCTAAGGAAAGTAATTAGGACACATTTTTGGCCTCTCAATTTCTACTCAGTTTTTACAAGAAAAATACCAATTTTTGGTGCTAGTATTGGGCTTGGTGACCAATAAATGTTAAAAAGGAACTTAATTCTCAAAGAGCATCCCACTGTAACAATACCTAATCACCAAGTCCTACTCATGCAACAAACTAAGACTTCACTTTAGGAAACCGCCAAATGGAAGCTTTACTTTTCCCAATAAATCAAAATGTAAAAAATGATAGTTGTGGCATTCCTCTCCAAATTAATGCTACATGGATACTTCTTCCCAAAAAGTCAGTCAACAGTATGAATCAATGTGCTTCAAATGAAGAAAATCCATTGACTTTTAGGAACCATGATAAAGGTGCATTGTGCCCAAGATAGTATTATCATATTTCTCCTCCACTTTAACAGAATTGGAATGCTCAACAACACTATTAAGTTCTGGGATGCTCTCAGCTGTGTCCCCAAACCCATGGTAATGTCCATAGTGCAAATTATCTCCAATATCATCTAACCAGGAAGGTCTATTAGCTACACAGCTACTTGGACTTCCATTCAGATGGAGAGAGCCACACATATCAGGTGAAATGTTCATTGTCTTTTCTGATTCTTCAGCACCATTAACAGAGGGAGTTTTCTGGCTATTTGCAAAAGTCAGTCCTGGAATTAATCCACTGCTAATTCCATTAGGTGCTGTTAAGCATTCTCCATTCCTGTTTTCCATCCCATTGAGCTGTGTCGTGGAAGGGAAGTCCAAATGTCCATTGGTGGCATATCCACTTGTCAATGTATTCAAAACGGAGCTACTGCTATTCATATCTGCATTAAGAAATACACCTGTCACCAAAACTCAGAATCAATGGGGGGGAAAAAACATAAAAAATTTGGCTATACTTAAATAAAACCTTTTTTTATTTTTCAAAATCAATTAGATCTTCTGTAAGGTATTGATCAATTTTCAAGATACATGGCATAGGTGTGTCTAAAAATGAATGACAAAATAGTTTTGATTCTTACGATTTTAACTCGGCATTTAAAAGATGTGGGGCCAAACTGAGAAACTTAGGCTATCATTATTTACTTTACAAAGAAGTCTTTAAACTTTTATTGTAGTTTTCAAAATAATTGTTTTTTGAGTCATTCCTAGTTATACTTGAAAAATTCCTAGCAAAGTAAATTCTATCAGACTCAAAAGTAAAAAACAAATTTGATTTTTTTAAAAATACACTTCAGGTTTTCACTAGGGAGGCCTTGACCAGGGTTCAAACCCAGTCCCATGCCCAGGCAACTTTTAAGACTATAATCCTGGCAGATCTGAACTGGAGTTACCTCACCTAAGGGTTCCCAATGCCTACGAAATCACAGGACCTAACCCTCCCCCTTCCAAGAAAAAAAAATATAAAATGGTTTTCACAAAGGATTAAAATGAAGTGTAACACTTCATTCAAGATTGAGAAAAACAGTACATAAAGTAACTGAAGCAAGTTAATTACAGAAGCTATTTATAAGAATGTAAGACAATGCAGTGTTCTAAAGCAAGTTCAGACTAATAATTTAGGAAAGCGCATATGCAAATTTTATAGGAATAGTTTTCTTTAAGTAATATTCAAAAATTGACATAATCCATATGCAAAATGCCAGGTGAAAACAGAATTGGCAAAATGCACAGACCAGAATGCTTGCTTACGAAAAGAAAACATGGAAATTAATGATATTCATGCAAAAGGTCATTTTGAATGACTAGTTCTGAATTTTATTAAAGTTATTATATTTAGGATACATCAGCCACATTAAAAAAATAAGTAGGGGAAACACTGATTTTTGAAGCTTAAGACAAAAATTTATTCAGTAAAATATTGATAAAGAAAAAATACCCATTACAAGTACTGGGATAGACCAATACATATTACAGTTCTGTACTTTTTAACTCAAAAGTGTATATGTAGACATGAATACAGAGAATAAGTAGTTTAAAACTGCCTCTAATCCGGGACTATTAAGTAAGGCTTGCCACTTAAAGTGCTGCTCTATTGTAATAAAATGTAGTCTTACAATGACCATTTCAAAGAGTCCATTTCTAATAGATTTTCACATATAAAAGCATTTGATGCATACCTTATTACCCTTGTATAACAGTGCCCTATCAAAGTGCATATTTTTAATTTTTTCCAGTCTAAGTACTTTTCTACATTGCACATTTATGCTACATCTTCATTCTCCCTTCCCCTCATCTTCAACCCATGCCCCCATCTCACCCCTTTCAAAAAATAAATAAATAAATAGAAGGATGAAAAAAGCTGACAATGTTCCAATAGTCATCAATTTTTGTCTGGCAACAAGTTTATAAACTTTTTAAAGGCAAAAATACATTAACCAAGAGCATGGTTTCCATAAAATCTGCTAAAATGGAGGAAAATGGATACTTTCTCTGATCTTTCAAGTTGCACCTATACCAGTGTCTTAGACAACAGTGAACAATGGATCTGGAGTTAGAAAATGAAAATTTTGAGTTCCAGTTTTGTCATTTCTGTTGTTTGATCAGGACCAATGACATAACCACCCTTATCCTTAATCTCCTCATTCATAATATAGGGATGATAATATTTTCATTCCATATCTCACAGCCAAGCATAATGTAAATATCAGCTGTTATTACTTAAATTCAAGAGAAGTGACCTAAGCTAAGTAATATAAAAAGCTTTAACAACCACCAAAAAAATCCCAAATCCCCAGGCCATTTACCCCAGGGGTAGCAACTATGTAATTTCTATTTTTCAAAAACAAAGCCACAACTTTTCCTTAAAGATAAAATCTGGCTATGGGGCAGCAGTATCCACTTGAAAGATAAGAGAAAAAGAAAAAAAAAAAACAACCTTGTCAGTTCAAGTATATGTGTCCAATTAATTATCCAAATCTCTTTAAAGAGATGGAAATAGTAGACAGTGTAATTGGGTTCCCAAAGGTAATTAAAATAGCTAGTCAACTACTCAAAGAATTGGGTGTGTTGCTTCAAACCTAGCTTACTTTGATCTGATATACTTTTTAAAGAAGAACACAGGGGAAGGTGGGCAGCCTATTTTCATAATTTATGCGGAATTAAAAGTTGGTACAAAGGAAGTAATATTTTTCTCAAGCAGCTAGGTTAAAGCAAATTAGTTCCAGGGATCAACAACCTAAAAAAGCCCAAGCCAAGTAATACAGCCTCATAACACTATCATGAAGGGAAATAAAAATTGTAAACCCACCAGAATCTTGCTTTAACATAATAAAATGTAATGACAAGACCATCTCAGATCCTGCTCAAAAGGGTTTGGTTAGTACAGTCAATCCCAAATCTGCCACTTGACATACCATTCTGCTCATTTAATGCTGCCTAATAAAGACCTATACTTCCCTTCTTGCTGCCTTTACCTGCTCATTCCACAGTTTCCACCGATGTCCGAACAGACGAAGGCAACAGCACATACACAGCCCGGATTTTGCCTTATGGCGGATCTGCTTTAAGATGCAGCCTCCAGGAATGCATGGCATCTAAAAGCGGGGCCCACCTGTACCAGAGTGATCTTGTTATAGCAGGGTCTCACCTATACAGGTGTACCTCGCTTTAAGCCAACCCAATATATGAAAATCCAGATTTACACAAAGAGATAAATTAGGGGGCAAGTATTTGCTTTAAAAAGGATTCACAGTAAGATTCCTTCAGATATTCAGCCCCTCCCAACAATTTAAAATGTGAAAATTTGATTTATACACTTTTCAGGAATGCATTCATCTACTGCATAAAGTGAGGTAGATCTGTAACATTCCCACTGGCACAGCCCTTAAAGGGCAGCATTCTAGCAAGGCTTCTGAATAGAAGTAGAATATACTTAAAAATATAAACATTAAAAGAAGACATTTCAAGTGGCCAATTTATTAGTTAAATGAGACTAGCTGGAAGTTTAAATTACAATAAGAGGGCAGGATTTGGTTCATTTTTCTAAATGGCAAGTCCCTGAAACATTAAGGATAACTAAAAAACTAATTACTGCTTAAAAAAAAAGTGAAAAATCAAAACATTCCTGTTTTAGGATTTTTTTTTTAAAAGATGTCAGAGGCTAATAATTACAACTGATAAAAAAAAAATAACATGCCTACTGGCACAGAGAGCTGAGCAGGTTTTTTGTCTCTACTCTGAAATGGGCTTGAACTATGAGAATGATTTATAATTTCAACATAGTAAACTGCTAGGAAGTCCCATCGGAACAGTAGAAGGCCAATATATTTGACTTACAAGTTTGTCCCACTGCTTTTCTTATTTTAAGTTTTGCTTTACGGAGTAGCTGTGGTATTTATACATCTGCTTTGTTATATAGATCTTAACTGCAAATAAACTTGACTACTATTTTAATTAAAGCATTTTCCACTTAGGAGTCCCTATTTACTCTTTTTTTAAAAAAAAAAAGGTTCCTAGGATTTTAGATTATTTAGTAACAAGATATTTCCACTTTTTTTTTTTTTTTTTTTTTTTTACTAATTTTACTAATATACTTGTATGGCTTTCCTTTAATGTTTTTTAATATACTAGAAATATTATATTACATTTCCAAAAAGATATATATAGATATATATGCATATATATGCTTCCTTTTAAAGTTTACTTTTTAAAATGGCTTTCATGTTAATTCAGAAAACAAAACATCTATTCTATTATACCCAAAGTTGCACTTGGAATATAGAAAAACAACATTAATAATAAAAATCAGTTTCCATTTCTAAGCATTACACTACATTAGTAAAACTGTCATAATCTTTACCTTTCAAATACATGGAAAGGCTGAGAAAAGAGCTTTTAATTAAACTAATATAACAAGATATATTTGTGGTAACTCATTTTTAAAATATTCTAGAATACTATTAAGAAATGAATCTCTTGCTATTGGAAAATTCAAAATGTGAATATTTAACTATTACTACAAACAGTTCTAAGCCTATGAAATTGGACATAAAAAACTTGTTTTGCAAATATTTCTTAAGGTTTCCCCCCCTTTTTTTAAACTTAGGTATATATTTTAGCAAAAGCTAAATATGTTCATTTCATTTTTTACTTTTTCACTAACTACAAATCTCTGGTAATTTCTAGCTATTAACATAACTATCTTTAGAACTATTTGTATTAAGGTACATATTACTCTGAAAACACTAACAGTACACTATGTGTGAGATGCAAAAAGTATTCCCAAGTTAAAAAAACAAATTTAAAAACTCTTTAAAAGATAAAGAAGGCACATTAAGTTTAAGCCTCAAAGAATAATAGGAAGAGTGACTTCATAATTATTGTATATATCCACACTAAGTGTGTCAAGAAATGTTTCCTTGTGTCTACAAACACCCAAAAGAATGGGCATTGGAGTAATACAAGTTTCCAAGACACTGGACAACAATGTGCAAAAAATTCAAAGAAACCTTTGTATCTTAGAAATAATATGCATACTGATTCTTACAACGACAAGGGGTTTGCATTGATGTAACTGTATAAATTTCTATCTCTTTTGGTCCAATAGAACCACTCTCCTGTTGTTTGATGTCTTCAACCATTTGAATGTTGTTGCAGTTAACAGGAAACTGTCCACTCCCACCTGATACAACAGCAAACTCTCTATCAATGTGCATACTGTCAGCATCATCATCAGCTCCTCCGTTCACTTGTGGTATGGAGCAAACAAAGCTCTGAGCTGTCAAAAAAAACCCCAACAAAACAGGACGTGATCTTAGGTTATTCTGTATATATAAAAGAAAATATTAAGACAAATACTCTGATTTCATATTTTCAAAGCATTCAGTAGTTTAATGCCTAACAATTTTATACACACACACATTCACCCCTTTATATCTTGTACTTTGCCCTCTTTCCTGAAATCCACATGAACTGCTGGTTACATGGCAGTCAACAATCTGTACCACAAATCAGATTTTCTTAGCAAATAATTTTATAACTGAACCTTAAAACTTCTTGGAAGTAGTAATACCCATTTGGGTTCTACTTGATGGGATATGGTATTTGAAGCATACTGTGTTTCCATTCTAAGTCTTTTATTTCAAGAGAAACATGCATAACTTTAAACATTCAACAGAAATGGTGATATATTTAAACGTTTCCACTGTTTTCTCATCATTGAAATGAATGAAAATTTCTAGCAAGCAACAATTACTTAATGATACGTACAAAGTGTTTTTAAGTTCCTATATTTTTACTTTTATGTTATAAGCCTGTTAATTTGAGACAACTGGGAGATCCAGAAGAAGAGGAGTTAGTCAGCTAAAACTTGCAATTGAGTCAATGGTTAGAAGTGATTACTGAGTTTCAATCAAGGTTGTACAAAGGTGTCACGAAGCAATAACAGTCAGCATTTATAAAAGTACCACTTTAACATTTGGAAAGCACATTAGATACATTATTCCTTTTGAGCTTCACTAACACCTTGTGAGAGAAACACTACAGGTATTGTCATCTTACATTCTACAGATAAAGAAACTGAGAAGACAGACTGCCATTTTCCTTTGGTTACACAGCTATTAAATGTCATAAGAAGGATTTGAACCCAAGTCTCTCCTGACTCTCAGTCCAATGCTTATTATAGCCTGCTACCTTTCACCTAGTAGTGCCTCCCTTTCTTGGTTGGATCTCAATCTATTCATGAAAATCACATGTAAATGTGTGAAAACAACTGTTCTGATCTATAAAAGTTAGCTGGAAGCTAGCAAAATATGGAAAAGTAAAGAACATAAAGGTAGAACTGCAACTTCTTACATATAAACCACATGAAAAAAGTTAACTACTCTTGGTGTTAAACAGAATTTCTATAAAGTACAGTAACAAATGCTACATAACCATAATGAGCAAACTTGACCCTGAAGAAATATGAGAAGGCATCTTACTCCCTTCTTTGTAGTTAGGAGAATATATTGGTGGAACCACTCTTAGATTTGACTGATACATTGGTATGTTTCGCCAAATTATTTTTTTCCTTTTCTTTTTTAAATTCTGTTATACCAGATAGCTCTCTGGGTAGGGGGAAGAGGAAGAGAATGCTGACAAATGAAAGTGATGAATAAGCAAAAGATATCAATAAAAACAAATTTTAACATATAGGAATAAAACAGAAGGTTCAAAAATATGTGGGATGGAAAAAATCTTACATATGCAATGTTGTTGTAATATTGGAGACATATGAATCAGTTAAGCAAAGCATAGGCAGCAGAATAACAATAGTTTCAAATTATTCCCAAGCCTGTACTAAAATCAGTGATAGTGAAGTTAATGTGCAAACAGTCTTAATGAATCAGAATAAAAGATTTGTGTATGATTACATCAAGGAAACAAGAAAGGGGATAGATGCAGAGGGAGCTTCAATGAATACCCAAATGGGGTAATGGTAGGGGGAGAAAGTTAAGATATTATTCCTAAATTTGCAAACTGCTCAAAATAATAAAAATTTCAGTTATGTTTAAGTTGTGGGGTGGGAAGAGTAAATTAACTTTGTATTGATACAGAACATTCTGAAATATTTTTAAAGACCAAAATTAATTACAAATTGAAGCTCTCTCCCCCACACTATTCTTCCCTTCCATCCCCAACAGAAGAACAACAGGTCCCGGAGAATAAAGTATTCCAAGTGTCTGACACAATATACTTTATTAACATAATGGCTATTCATTCTTGAATAAAGCATTTGCATTACGATAAATCATATTGTAAATCCAAGCAACCTGTGTAAATATCTACATTTTATAAAGCTATGCGTAATTTTAGAAAAATGTCAATTAGTTTTTATTTCCATTTTAATAAAACTGAGGATTAGTATCATGCCAAAAGCTCATTCCAAAGACACTAAAACTCAATCATCAAAAAGGAAGTCATTTCATAGCCTAGACCTAGACATAGCATTAATGCCCCTCCCCACCTCTTTGAATTTCCAAATTGGGAATTCTTAAGATCTAAATCTAGTCCATCTTAGTTTTACTTAACAATCAAGAACTATTTTTTTCAAGCATTTAGAGCAATATGTTATCTTCTACTTCTCAAGTTTTTAAAAAGAAAAAAAGTTCAAATACAACAAAAATTTAATCTGAAGAGGTAAATGACATATAATCACTCAATTACCATTGAAACCTTTAAGACTGAAAAATTGCTACTTCCTAAACAAGAATGGACAGAATTTCCAGAATAACTCAAAATGGAAGAAGCAAAACACAGCCTCAGAAACAGAGGCAGTAGTGTGGCTATATAATGGAATATATGTATATCAAAGTACTGCTAACAACTGAAGTACATACATAGTTTTTTCTTATTTTTATAAAATAATTGCAGTAAGATTGAAAATTTTTAATGGGAGACCTATGTAAAGAAATTATAGACAAGGTCCCGGTAAAATTTAGGTACCATTTTAAGAACAATGAATTAGGCTAGCCTAGACTGACTTCTTTATAGTCACAAGCTAAGCAACAGGATTTCTAGTTAACTGATTAAAATACGTGATGATCTTTCAACTCTACACTTTGATCTTTCAAATTTTAACAAAGTTTCAGGCTGGAAGCATACAAAATGTTTAAAATCAACTTTTGACAATGCTAACTCCCTTAGAAGTCATGTGGTCTTGAGTCAATACTGGGAAATTCTACCATATGTACTTGTCACCACCACCCCCTTTCAATACTCACTAGCATGCATATCAAGTACTTCTTACGTGAAAGGCCTAGGCTTTTACTGTATACCACTCTATTTAAAAAAAAGTTCTAGCAAGCTTCTAGTATATTTTTTAAACCACTCTAGCATGAAAATCATATATATATTTGAATATCAAAGTGCAGAATTTGAACTAGTTGTTTCCATTAACTTTTCCCCAGTCATTTTATATTATATATATATATATTTTATATAGAGAGACCAACTCTACTCATTGAAATATGCTTTATACCATTTCATCAAAAAAGATGTATCTTAAAATTAGATTAATTCTCAGAAATCTTGGGAAAGCATCAAGATTCCCAGTTCATTTATCCCCCCAGAAGAATCACTTTAAATGTTATATGTGAAGGTAAATACCATCTGCAAAAAAACCAAGATTTTCTCTCTAAATGTTTTAAAAGACCTAACAATAAAAACAATGGAATTTATGGTATTTCATATAGGTACTTTGAAAACAAACTTCTTTGTATTTTTTAACTGCACAAGCAATAATTTGATATGAGGTGGCATACTATAGTGAGTAGAGTGCCAGACTTTAAAGTCAAGGAGACCTAGGTACTCCAGTTACTGGGTGACAGTCACTTAACCTTTCAGTCATTGCTTCCTCATCTGTAAAATACAGAAAATAGCACCCACCTCACAGGACTGTTTTAGGGATCAAACGAGATATGTACAAGTGTAAAGTACATCATAAACCTTAAAACAATATATAAATACCAGCTATTATTAGTGACTAAGGAATCTTACACATGCTCTAAGTTGAATACTTGTCTGGATTGACAAGCATGGAAAGCAACACCCAAATAAATCTCATCTCCAATTTGGGTATTCCCTCCAATGATGCTGACTGCAATGACCACCCATCTTTCCTGTGACTCACCTATCTACCCTGCATCTGCCACACAATTTGCTAGAGGCTCTAACTTCTTAAATCAGAAAGAGACAAGTGAAGCGCGCAGACTTTCAACCTGTGAAGCAGCTCATCTCCTATTTCTATCCTAAATATCGACATATTTTACTTGTTATTTCTGAAATTTTTCTTTCATTACTTTGTACCCTGCTCATATCTACTTTATAGCCTCCCACTGCCCTCTGTATGATATGCAATTCCTTGGAGATTCTAGAGTTGTTTCATAGAATTAAAACACTGGCACAAGTGTTGAAAAGATAGGCCTCCATTTCTGAAGAAACCGTGAGGTCACTAAAGGTTAGTTATATATTTTAGGCAATTCACCCTTTTTTATGGGGTTAGTTGGAAATAATAAGGCAGTAGATGGATACTGCACTTCTGGGAGCAATGCACTCCTCTTCCTTTTTAATTCTGGGCCCAAATCCATGTCAGCTGTCCGATTTTCATACACATATACACACACCTACAATCTCTAAGCTGTCTCCAACTGCATGTTGTAATTTGGGCAATAAGACATTCCTGAGTTGTTATATCTCTTCCAAGAGGCTAGGCAATCTTCCAGGGCCTGATGCAAAGAATATAGTCATCTGCAAACAGCAGTAACTACTGGACATCATCTACCAGAGAAGTCTCTTCAACTTGCACTCTATACTAGATCTCCATCACAGTGGCAAATGTCTTTCTTTTTAAATACTTCTGGCCTAATGTTTATGACCATAATGTCAATAAACTTAAGTTATTTCTTATATATGGGAATCTTAACTGATACAGACGTAGCAATTCCTTAGTTGAAAATCTTTAAGGTAACGTTTTGTTCTACCAAGTTATTTCTCTATAATTAAAATCTTCCATTTTCCACCTATTTTAATTACAGACCTATTTCCATTTTCCACCTATTTTAATTACAGGTAATATCACTAGCAGATTGCTAGTGATATTACCTGCTCCCTAATAGTAACTAAAAGATGCCATCAATGCATGGGGAAATGTTTCAAAAACATTTTATAAATAAATGAGTATACATGTCAATACTTGGTGATATCTTGGTCATCGTTTTCAGTATTAATGTTTTTCCA